ATTCCCACAGCCAGCTATTTTTCCTCATTCTCCATTTATGGGCTGTCTGAATTTCATGCTAAGCATTTATTGCCTTTCATTTTTTTACTCTTTCATCTTTCTTGCCAGTTTTTCAGTTATCCATTATACGTATAATGTCATGTGGGTTTATCACTGGTAGACAAGGAGGTAACACAACTCCACCCTTTGCTGTCTGTGCATGACCTGAATAACATATGTGCAGTGATAGTCAACAACCATCTTCAAAGGAAATGGCATGATTGATCACTGATCATTATGCACATCTGTCACTTACACAGTCATTTGTGGACTGAAGATATAGCAGTGAAGCTGTACTTTATGCAGTTTTACGTTAATATATTGTGGCAATTGAAATTTGGACGGTGTTTGGACTGGTTACTGGAATTCATGCATAACAAAGCAGTGCAAATTGAGGAGTGTTGTAATTTATTTCAAATGTGTGCATTCCAGGCTTCTTTCATTTTCTATTCTAACTTTTTCTTCCTTGCTCAAAATTATTCCACAGGGATTTGGGTGACTGCTCAAAAGTATTTGAGTAGATGTTCCTATAGAAATCATTGTTAGAAAATTCAAGGACAAAAAAATTCTCCATCACAGTAACCTTGAAATTCTACTAAGTTCCAGAGTCCAGACTTGAGAACTAACTTAATAATAAAAGCACTAAGGTCACAAAAGCACATTTTAAAGAAGTAATAGAACCGGGAATTTTTTCATAAGTTAGGGAAATCATTCATAGAAGCGAGTATGTATCCTAACTTGGACTAGGAAATTTCTATCCAAGCAAGCAAAGTATCATTACAATAAAGATTATTACAAAGAATCATTCTATGACCTTGTTGATGGCCCCTAATAATAAGACTTTGTTATTAAATTTACTATGATTTCTATTCAATAATCTTGAATGTTCAGTGCTTTCCCTTGGTCCTATCCACATAATGATAACATTCTGTTATTAAATAATATGATTATGTACTGATTTTATTGTAGAAGGAACTGAAACAAACTGTAGCCCATCATTTTACTCTTCTATGGAAATGTTGTTGCTAATCCCTTGACCCTTTCTAAATCCAGACATCCCAACTTTCTCCATACACTCTAAAATTATTAAACTATCCACAAGACTAGGTGAAGCTGGAACCAAGAAAAGGAAATTAGTTTGTTGAACATCTTCTCTAATCTTTTATATCCAAGGTCCTTGTCACACAAAGCCTTGGCTCTTTTATTTCTAGGTCCTATAGATTGGGAATGAAATGTCTAGTATTCATTGTGACAAAATGGCTTCTTCAGAGAACATTGGATAGCGTATAAAGTTTATTATAAAATTACTTTGCTTGCCTTCCAGCAAATAGCCAATTTATAATTGTCATTAATATTCATTTTTCTCTAGCACCAGTTTCACAAAGCATTGGTGTGTGTGTGTGTGTGTGTGTGTGTGTGTGTGTGTGTGTGTGTGTTTGAATTAGTGTGTTAGGTATTTTAAATTTTAAATGAGTGTGAAAAATAGTAATTTAAATTTAAATAATTTTTAAATGAAGTTGTAATTTTATTTAAAAAGTTATCAGTTCTTTACTCTGCACTTAAAACCATATTTACAGCTCAACAGATATTTAAAAGATTCTAAAATTACTTTCCTAGAATTATCAGAAAATAGCACTGTAATAATTAAATCAAACACATCTCTCTTTATGAATTATTCTTAATCTGTTATGCATTATATCTCCCTGGTAAGCCTTCCTGTCTCTATTCATTTACTGATCACTCTTAAGTATGTTATATCTCTGAGCAGGCATTGAATTCTTAGGTTTGGGGTTTTGTTTATGTGAGTCTGTATGGGTGTGTCACATCAGTCTTTGGAGTATCATGAAAACTTAATGTGATAAATTTGATTATGTCCCCAAGTTGACTTGTTAATTTCACTAGATTTCATTAGCTACAACTACATTTTTATTTTATATGTGCTTTGTGTCACTCACAAAGAGACCAGAAAACCTTATTGTCTATTTTTAACATTAGCTGTTTCTTCAGGTGACTAGAGGAACATGTCATTGCTTCATTCACATGAATTTCAAAGATTTAACTACATAAAAGAGCTTTCTTTGGACTAACCAAAGGGCCTGACACATCATAGATACACAGTAAATATTTGTAGAACAAATGAATGAACCAATCTAACAGATTGCTGAGGAGTAGTCTGCTTTTGGTTACTAATTATTCTATAGAAGATATAAAGGGGAAAATTTTAGAATTCCTAATTTGTTCACTAAGTGTTATATTACCTATATATTTGCTATTCCTGTATCAGGCAGCACTAAGGTTATAAGTTTTTTGTTTAAAATGTAATTACCTTTATTTCTCATATATTTTATTTTGTGTATTGATTTCAGTAGTTTTAGCTGAGGGGACTCTTTAAAAGCATGCAGATTTTAAAAATTACATAGATTGTCTTGCCAAGCAGCCAGAAAATCATACCAGGGAGTTTGATAAGAACCTGCTGTTAAGAACATTAAGTTGTTTTTTATCTTAATGCTAAGTGTTTGGGAAATTACCTGAATTTATTTTCTTTGTTGCATTTAATATTTTGATAAATTTGACAAATAAGGATAAATCCACTTGTTAAAGTACAAGAAAATATCACCAATAGAAGGTCCTTGAGATTGCTGGGTTCTATGGCACCTGTAGCAGATTCCTTCACCTTTAGCTGCACTGAGAATTGACAGCCGAGCTAGCAACGAGACACCAGCCCCATACTTGCTGTGGAGCCTGCTGAAATGTGGCCATCATGGGCAAAGAAAACAAGCCAAAAGAAACTGTTTATGAAAGTCCACCAAAGAAAAAAACATGGAGATACTCTCTTATTACCTGTGGTTACTCAAGTAGACCTCACAGAGACAATTGATTACTCCACACCCAAAATGCTTGGGATCAGAAGTGTTTTTGAATTTCAGATTTTTTTTTCAGATTTGGGATGTTCAGCCTTTGTATTTGTTAGAAACAGCTGTTTGATTTAAGGGAAGGTTTAAAGTGGACTTGAAAATAAGTAGTAGTTGAACCAATTAACAGGAACTGAAGCTACCTCCAATAATATATACTGTACTTATACTCAAAGGGAGAAGGCCGTTCTGTGGTAGAATGTTGTCGATGGCAGTATTCTGTGGTGTTCTATTTTTATTGCTATTGTTGTCATTATTTTCTCCCACAGTACCTCTTCTAAGCTGAATTTTATATGAGAGTCAAAATCTTATTTTTGTTTGGAGTGACCTAAGTCAGCCTTTTTGCATGAAATTATACTGTACTCCAAGGCAAATTCTTGTTGCTTGATCTTAGTAGCGCTTTTATGCTTTGAATTAAACCTGGAAGAGTTTCTTATAAATGTTTGATTGATTGTTAGGTACATTTTTTATTTTATTCTATTTTATAACCCTCTATACAACTTTCGAGCTCTGTTTAGATGACAATATACATGGGATTAAAATGGAAAATATGACATATGTCTAGAGAAAGTTTCTTTTTCTGTGTCTGTGCCTTTTGTGACCTATATACTCAATTTCATTCTAGCCAGTATTTAAACCTGGAAATAGGGAAGCTGTGAAAATGCTGTGCCTTTTAAGAAGGCAGGGATAGGACTGAGTAGTAGTCATGTACATTCCAAGGCTAGACAGAGGTAATGGATGAAATAAAAACTTGGATAACTTCCTGTAGAATATGTTCTGATTAATATGGATTTCAGTTACTCAGCTTCAGGATTCCTGACAAAATTCTTGTGGTTGAATAAGGATCTGTTAGGTCTCCATCTCCCCTTAAAGAGACTAAAATTGAGGTTATAATCTGAAGTATAGATAAGTCAAGATTCAGAAAACCTTTAGGGGCCTGTGGTATCCCTTAAACATAGATTTGTACCATGGTCATTTAGGAGTTATTTGTTATTTTTGCTGTATTTAATCTGTTTGTCATTTTAGTAGAAAAAAATTAAATGCTAAATATAACATTTTAAAATCTTTTTCTTCTCACGACTGTCACCAGTTAATAACTGGCATGGAGAGTATTTATGTGTGGATGACACACAGTGGAATTTAAATCATATGCTCTGTTTTTTTTTTTTCTGTGACTCAGTTGGCCTTTAGGTTGCCTTAAGCAACATTTTTGGTGAAAATTTAATTTCAGTATTGACCAAAACACAAAAGGTCAACATATAATAAAAGGACTAATATTTTAAGGCTTATCCACTACATTATTCTTTCAGGGAAGGTACCAGATACTTGCCAGTAGAACTAGCATCAGAAGCAAAGCATGAGTGATGAATCCTGTTTCAATTTTGTAGTTTATTTTCGTTAAAATATTTCAGCTAAACAATCTAAGCTTTTTTCTCCCCCAGGATTTCACAGGGGTGTTGTTAATTGCCCAATATTTATTCTGTCTTCTTTTGCAGAATAAGATATCTAGATTTCCAGATGGTTTTCTCATATTATATAAGGTGGAACGAATTTCTCTTTTTCTTGATATTGTCAATTAACCAGTGATGCACGTCAGTGTTGTGTTGTCAGCCTGGGATGATCTTGCTCATCAGGGGGCACTAGCAATGTCTGAAGACAGTTTGGTTGACATAACTGGGAGCTGTTACTGTAATCTAGTATACTGAGGCCAGGGTTGCTGCAAACACTCCACAATGCTCAGAACAGCACTAAACACAAAGACTTATTTAGCCCAAAACGTTTCTCATCAACTGAGAAAGGCTGATGTATACATCTTCATTCTTTAGAGTGTTGGGGAATAAGGCGTCACCTATAAATTCAGCATCCATATTTATACTGTCATGACTCTATTTATCCATTTGCTTATGAAAAAGGCGTGAGGTGACCTGATACGGAGGAGTTGTTTCTGAGAAGTTATTCAACTACAGGAATTTTGTCCGTTTGTCTCTGGACCTTATAAATGACTTCACTTGTGATTGGGTTCCTGTAATTTCTTTTTTTTTTTTTAAGCACTTAGATATAAATCCAGTGGTATGGATGAGAAAACCATTGCTTTACTTGTCGCCGGACTAGTGACCACCGCAATTGTTATTGTTGGAGCTATCATTTTCGTCCCAGGTAAGATGTGCAGTTACGAGGAAGGAATGCAGGATGTAGATGAGTGCGTTCCCAGTACAGGGGGGATGTATTCATTTCATAGGGCTGTTGGAGCAAATTACTACAAACGGATTGGCTTAAAACAACAGAAATTATCTTGCTGCTCTGGAAGCCAGAAGTCTGAAATTGGGGTGTCATCAGGGCCATACTCCCTCTCAAAGCTGTAGGAGAGAATCCATTCTTGCTTCTTCTAGCTTCTGGCATTTGCTAAGGAATGACAGTCCTTCGGATTCCCTCGTTTGTGGCAGCACAACTCCAGTCTCTGCTCCTCTGGTCACATTGCCTCCTCTTGTCTGTCTTTGCCTTGTGTATTTTGGTCAAATCTTTTTCTGCCTCTTTCTTACAAGGGCATTTGCCATTGGAGTTAGGGCCCACCCATATAACTCAGAGTAAGCTCCTTTCAGATGCTTAACTTAATCATATGTTTTGCCATATAATGTTATTCTCACTCGTTTGCTATGCAGGGTAATGTTCACAGGTTCCTGGGATTAGGAGGTAGAAATATCTTTAGGACCCAACATTCAACCCACTACAAAAGCCAACTTCCTTGACCAAGACATAGACGTAGAATAGATGTGGGAACCAAGTCTGTCTGAAATGGCAGTTGCAGTCGGAGGGTGGGAGTGTAGGTGGGAAATAAGGGTATTACGTACATGTAAAGAAAAGCTAAGAAAGGCTGGGACTCAACGTGGCAGGCCATTATCGTTTTGGAGAAGGATGCAGTACAGGAGTAATATTAAGAAACAGAAGTTTGGCAGCTCTGTGTTCATCTGGAGTTAGTGAAGGCATGGGGAGAAAGGAGTTGGATTCAGAAGACATCTTGAAAGAACAATTGATTGAGGGACATACTGAATACAGCAAATGAAGGAAATGGTAAAAGACGACTACCAAGTTTCTCATCCAGTTCAAGGTTTCAATATGTGGAGACTTAAATGTTGAGATATAGATGTCTTCAATTCGGTCTTAAATAAGAGAAAAAGATTCACTTATTTTGTATGGGGTTTTAATAAATTTAATAAATTAAGTACTTTAACTTCCTGAACAGTAGAAAGTATGTAGGAAAATATTTTAAATATTTGTGTTTATTCACAGGTGAATATTCAGTAAAGAACGCTACTGGACTTGGTTTAATTGTGACTTCGACAGGGTTTTTAATATCACTTCACTATTATGTGTTTAGGACAGGTGAGTATTTGTTGTTGCAGTTTGATTTTGTCTATCTTTTACATTTAAGAAAATGATACTTTTGGTGAAAATATCCTTATGGTTTTTTTTACAACTCAATAAAAGTTTGTTTATTTAAAGATGTACCATGTCATCATTTAGTGACATTTAGAATTTTAAGATTATTCTATATCAGGGCATTCAAATATTTTGTAAAACGTGATTCTCATATATGTTTGATGCCAGTCAGCATAAATTTAAATTACACAATGTCATTTTTTAATGATTACCTTACATTCTAATTTTAGTTTTTTGAAGTTGTAAGATGTTAAACATACTCTTTTCTTTTGCAAGCCTCTGCATTAAAAAGACTAATTCTGTAAAATGAGCTTATAAATCACAAATAGTGGAAACATTTTAAAAAATATTATTAGCAGATCTTAACACTGTTTTAGAAGATGGCATAGATACCCAAACTATAATCAGTGTCATTTTCATTGCATTTTGAAAGTAAATCACTAACATTTTCATCTTAGAGCCTATCTCTGGCTTGTTTACATTGGAAAGGTATTAATTTGTTATAAAAGTACAGATCTCCTAGATGCGCAAGGCAGAGAGTCTGATGTTTACAATGCCATATTTGCATAATGGTTCCCTCCACCAGAGCAAGTCTCTGTGCACGTGGAGAAGCCATGCATAATAGCCATTCATATTGTAAAATGCACAAGTGTGGTAAAAGCAGCATTGTTCTAAGATTTGGAGTAAAAACTGCCAGCCCAGCTTAGCTGACTGTGAAAATAAAAGGCTGCTGAATGTGTGGACACAGAGCTGACTACTTGTGCAGAAGGGTCAGGTCACTGGAAAAGCTTCTGCAATCTGACAGCGAACTCCGGAGTGAGTGTTTGGTTGTAGGGTATTCCTACAACCGAATGCAGGGAGGAGTGATTGCTTCTTAAATCCTCTCAACACACTTCTGTAATATCCTTTTCCTTCCCCAGCTTTCGGGATAACCTCCTTCGTCATTGCCATATTGATTATTCAAGTGCTGGCCTATATTCTCGCTGTTGTTGGACTGAGTCTCTGTATCTCGGGTAAGAGTTGCTTCCTTCTGTAGTCCTGATTTGGGTTACCCTTGGACAGAGCTCATCTCTTTCTCTCTATCTCAATATGTAGGCTTTAAAAAAAGGTTTTAACAGCAGTTTTTGGTTCACAGCAAAATGGAGTGAAAGTACAGAGAAACAATGTACAAAGTACAGAGAATTTCCACATACTCCTGACCCTCCTTAAACTCCACACAGCCACAGCCTCCCTCAACATTGAAATGTAAGGTAGAATATAAAGGGAATCTTTAACAAATTATATAGCATAATTTAAGTGTACCAGAATGGTACATTGTTGTAGTCAGTGAACTAATATTGACACATCATTATCACCCACAATTCCTAGTTTATAGTAGTAGACTCTTGGAATTGTACATTCTGTAGGTTTTGACAACTTGATCTTGACATGTATCCCCACTGTAGTACCACACAGAATAGTCTCACTGCCCTAAGGATTCCCTGAGTTTCACCTGTCCATTCTTCTCTCTCCCCAAACCCCTTGCAACACTGATCTTTTTATTGTGTCCATAATTTTGCCTTTTCCAGAATGTCTTATAGTCGGAATCATACAGTATGTAGCCCTTTCAGATTGGCTTTCACTTAAAAATAGACACCTGAGTCTCCGCCACGTCTTTCTGTGGCTTGATAGCTCATTACTCTTTAGCACTGAATAATATTCCATCATGTGGATGTGCTACCATTTGTTTATTCGTTCACCTACTGAGGGACATCTTGGTTGCTTTCAGTTTTTGTGACTATGAATAAAGCTGCTAAAAACATTCATGTGCATACTTTTGTGTGGATAAAAGTATTCAACTCCATTTGGGCAAATGCCAAGGAGTGCAGTTGCTGGGTTGTATGTTAAGAATATGTTTACTTTTATAATAAATTGCCAAACTCTTTGTACCAAAATGGCAGTATCATTCTGCATCATCACCACTAATGAATGAAAATTCCTATTTCTCCACATACTTAACAGTATTTAGTGTTGTAAGCTTTTCTTTATTCTCATTTCCTCCCAGTGAGTATAATGCTTTCCACATTACTACAAGAATATTGGAATATTGGTTATATATATGGCTTTTGGGTTGATTGTTCTAGCAACTAAACTGCCATACCTGTATTTGTGGAAGAACTTTTAAAATAACTGGACTCTAATTGGTTGGCTCCTTAGATTTCTCACACTATTTTCCATGAGTCTTGATGTGATAAGATATATGTTATGCAAAGGAGAAATGTTTTCTGTAATAATTTGGAGTCATTTCACTGATTGAGTTAATGAATATATATAAATAAATAATTTTTATTTTTTATTAATAGAAAAACAATTATTCCCCTTAAAACTTGATATTATTACTGTTAATTTTTTTAAGTTTAGTTATTGCATATGCATTGCTAATACAAAATTTTTTTTCTTTTCTTTTCTTTTTTACAGCATGTATACCAATGCATGGCCCTCTTCTGATTTCAGGTTTGGGTATCTTAGCTCTAGCACAATTACTTGGACTAGTTTATATGAAATTTGTGGGTAAGTCAGTCTTATTTTTGTTAACCTATGCCAGGAATTTCAGATATATAACTTGGAAAGTGCCTTCTAGTTGGTTCTTCCAGTTTAGGACCAAAGACATGTATTGATAACAAAAACAAGAATGATAAATACAATTGGAATGATTTGGTGGTAATTAAAGAGGGTAGAAGCATATGGATTAATGAAAAGTTTGGATTATAGACTTGTTAAAATGAAAATGGCTTTATGTATTAGAATGTAGAGGTCTTTTAATATTAAGTTAAGGGTAGAGATCCTTGAGGATCCGTTTTAAGTAATAGAAAGGGAATTTTTATTGTTTATTTGAAATGCTCTCTTGCTATTTTTTTGTCACTTGCCCTTTTTCCTGCACAGTGTTTACAGTCACGGATGCCCCTAAGTACATAGAAATTGAAATTTGAAATCCATCACTTTTGTTAACTTAACGAGCAATGACCTCCAATGCATGACTTTAAAACATTTTTGGTTAAACTATAAATATAATATATTAATATAATAATATATGGTATAATATAAATATTAACAAATCATATAATTATATTCTATACTTATATAGTCATAATAGTTAATATAATAATTCATATATAATATAATTAAAACATTGAGTTTCCTAATTTAGGCTTTTTCTACTTTTAAAATCAATTCTTGATAAGTATGTATTCACTTCGTTGTTTCTAACCTTTGTATTTAATCTGTCAGTGTTTGAGTAACAGGTTTCTGCATAAATTCTTATTTTTGAGTATATATAGAGAAAAAGATAGATGCTTTTAATGGTGCCTGAATCTAGTGTTTGTTTGTTTGTTTTTATCTAAGCTATAATCCAGTTTAAACTAGTTTCCCTTTAAAACAATCTTTTTTAAAAATGTATTAAATAGCTGGGCTCGGTGGCTCAGCCTGTAATCCCGCGCCTTTGGGAGGCTGAGGTGAGTGGATTGCCTGAGCCCGCGGGTTCGAGACCCACCTGGGCAGCAAGACCTCAATTCTACAATAAATAAAAAAAAAATCAGCCGGATGTGGTAGCGCATGCCTGTAATTCCAGCTACTCTTGGAAGGCTGAGGCGGGAAGGATCGCCAGAGCCCAGCAGGTCGAGGCTGCGGTGGCCGGGAGTGGCCACTGCACTCCAGTCTGGGCGACAGAGTGAGACTTGAACTCAAAAAAAAAAAAAAAGTATTAAATAAAGCAATCTCTTAACCGCTTACCCAAATAATCAAAAGATATGAATTAATGGAGTTAAAAAATTAGTGTTTCTGCTTTGCTTTGCTTTGGGTAAACTGTACTGCATCTGTTTCTAAAAATTAATGCAAAATTTGGATTATTACAGTAAAATAATTTCCCATATGATTTACATAATACTTTTAAAGAAGTTTTACCTTTATTTGTGAACTTCAGTTCTTGGTGATGATTGAATTTGCTTTTGTTACCTATTCTCTGTGTTCCTCTAATTAATGCTTATTAGACAGTGATGAAAATACTAAACCAAAATCTACCTGTCTTTAGTTTATGGTTTCATAAGTCCTAGTTGTTTCTCAATGAAATTTTCTAGTTTCATGCCACATAAGTCCATGAAGCACAATTAAGACATCTAGAGTAGAATGGCATTCATGTGGTAGCTACAGTGAGCATCTTGATTGTTGGTGTATATTCTATTTTGAGGGCATCTTCCAATCTCCTTGTGACTGATTCTTAAAGATGACATTCCTGATTTTATTGTTCCCCACGAATGCCTAGAGCAGTGTGTGACCTGCGGTCTCTGTACAACTCTGGTGAGTTAGCCTTAGGTGTCGCTGACTGATGGGCAGCTCATGTTCTTATGTTTTCCTATCTGAATTGCCCTCTCTCTTACTCCCATGCTTTCCCAAGCCTTCCATAGTTAGCAGACAGTGTTGTTCAGTACAGTTGCCTGCAAGTCTGGCGATGGTGCCTCAAGTGGGACTAGGCATTGTCTACATTGTCTAGACGTCACCTCCTTCACCTCACCCTGTTGTCTTTTCCATGGTTTACATTGCTAACAAGCCTATGAAAACACAGCAATTGTAGATGTCACTGTGGTAACATTAAAACTAAAATGAAAGTAAATTCCTGAGATGTACCCCAAATTATTTTTTCTTTATCATAGGTTAGCATATGAGTATACTATATGTAAGTTAAAAATTTAGTCCAATTTTGTTGACATTTTAAAAATATCCTAAATTAACTTTTCAAATCAACTTGTCTGATGCCAGAGTTCAGAGGCACACCTTCGTTCAGTTGAAAGGCAAGAAGAGACAAGGTACAGGGAAGGTGCTCTTTAGGTAATGTGGTAGCCTTGAAAAATTAATATGATCTGCTTATATGATCTCACTGTGTAAATCTGAATGTATAACATTAAGGTTGCAAATTTGAACATTTGTATCAGGAAGTAAAAATTGTAAATGCTTCTAAAATAATTTTTACGCATTGCAGATGTTGTGTTTTAGAAAAGTCTAATGATTGCATCTTGATTTAAATGCAATAAAATCTCATACAGTATAAAAAAAACCAAGCTCTTTCTTCAAGAATAAGTTAATATTACTATTTGAATTTGAACTTTTATAATGTTCATTATTTCCAAGTTTAAATTTGTAGCCTTAATTGTTATTTTAAAGAGTAGAATTTTGACTTTCTCTTTTTATGGCCTTCTTTTTTAACTGTATTGGATATTTTTTCTTTTTACTGGGAGTATTTTAATTTTATAAAACAAGATAAGGGGCTGGGAACACTAACAATGTCTGAGCATATAAAGTATTACAAGGAACTAACCATACTACTAAATTTGGGCTTGATGTTTGTATAGGACGTTTATATCCATTATTTTTAAGGGTCAATCTTACTTTTTAAAGCTATTAACAATTAGTTCAATGTAAGAGCATATAGTGTTCGTATGCAAATCAACCTAGTAGCAGTTCAAACCATATTTAGCACATCTCAGATATTTTAGAGTGGTGCAGATGTGGAATATCTATGTAGGATTTATATATATGCATAGAATTTTAGTATATGCATATATATATAAATTCAATTATTTTCTTGCTCATTTTGAGACTAGGTAAATCTGGCACCACTAGAAAAATGTTTCTGAAAAATTCAAAACCTAGAAATATATTGATGGCATGTGATCAGGTGTTTCAAGGAGGGAAGAACAAATTGAGAAGCATTACAAGTTAATTCATATGGAATGCTGAAGGCTTGTGGCTAAAATATATATATATTATATATATATATACACACATATGTATATAGATACATGCGCGTGTGCGCTTGTACACGCACGTGCGCGTGCACACACACACACACGGCTGTCAATGGCTTAGTCCTAAGGTAGCAGCAGATTAATCATAATCATTCTTTTGTCACATGGGTTATATCTTTATTAGAGAGAATTAATTCAGGTGAAATTAACTTTTGCACTGCTTAGTTTTATAATGTTAGAGGGATCACAACCAATTGAATTCCCTTGAATTACTGTCCTTCACAAATCTGATTTTGAATAGGCTAGCCAAATGTGGCATCCTTTGGATCTGAGATTTGGAACTTAGAAACTATTCTTTATATATTATTAGGGAATAAAAGGAGTTAGTTGGCAGATATTCATATTAATTCTGGGGGAGAGGGGTTTGGTTTTTTTGTTTCTTTGTTTTGGTAGAGACAGAGACTCACTTTGTTGTCCAGGCTGGCTTTGAACTCCTGGGCTCAAGTGATCCTCTGAGCTCAGCCTCAAGTAGTTGGGATTACAGGTATGCACTACCACACCCAGCAATATTCATTCTGATAAATAAATTTATGAGCTCAAAAATGTAACTTTAAAATCTTATGTCTGAGATGTAGTATTACCATCAGAAATTTAGATAGCTGTTCAGTTCTGTTTTCCTTTGTAGAACATAGATATAGGGTCTAGTTGCAGTATGTTGTACATACAGGTAACTGTCCTAATGGTCCCTAATAAAGCTCAATAATTCCACGTTGTTTATTTGGGAGGATGCTAGCAAAAATGGGAGTCTTCTGAGTGTTAGCACGTAACTGGGCCTCACAGAGACTGGAACAGTATGTAGTCTAGGACTGGAAGGACCCAGTGCATCTCTAAGGACTGAATCATCGTGCTGCCTTCTTAGCACCAAGAGTCTATCGACAGATGCCCTCTGTCAGTTACAGTCACCGAGTCCCTCTGTCTTTGATTCTTTACCAGCTAGCTCAGACTGTCCTTTGTGTCTCTGTTTTTTATCCTACTCACATCTTCTCACAGACAGCTTTTCTTACCTATAGCTCTAAGCTTTTAGTACCTCCTTGCCTTCTTTCTATTTCGTTTTCACCTTCTCTTCCCAGCATCAACTTTCTACTCTTCTTTCAGTTTCTGCTGTTCAGATTCCAGTGGGAGGAAGAAACCCATCAGGCCAGGCAGGTGCTACTTTTCCTGTTTGAGAGAGCCTTATTGGCATGCCCACTGGCCCATAGGACAGCTGTTCTTGGTCAGGACACATCTTATTCCCTACCAACTTCGAAAACTCGGTAGAGTGGGGCTGGGGAGTGGTATTAAATAAATAGCAAGAAGCACCAAGCAGTCCTGGGGTCCTGTCTCTGTCTGCTAATGAGAAAATCTAGGACCGTCATCCAGTCCAGGTTTCAGTGGGGTGGACTGCCCTGTTCGGTAAGATCACCCCCATGCTGAGTGACTCCTGAAATGTTGCGGCAGACACTTGTATATCTGTAGGATTCGGTATTTAGGATTTTCTGTAGCTGCTTGGTTACTCCTTCTCTCCTACCCAACTAGAGTAACTTTTTTCCTCTTTTGTCACTTTCTTCTTGCCTTACCTTCCTTCATCTCCATTAACTGGTCCATTTAGAAGCAGTGGAAAGGGCAACTCACAAAGCTAAGACGGTGTTCATAGAGGAACTCTTTAAACTCAGAGGGATCTCAGTATTTTCTTTAGTTTGTCAGCTATTCGGAGCTTTGAATTTGAAAAGGTTGGGTGAGGGAAGGAGTCTGGGCTCCAAGGAGCAGGAGCAGTGAGCTAAGGATGATTGAGGGGAGGGACCAGTTATGGCACATTCTGTCCACATCCTGGCTGGGCATAGTAGGGAGGATGGAGAGCCTACAGTGGGGGTGGGGAGATGACAGGATTTCTCTGCCAAGAAGGATAACAAGTGTCTGATTTGGGAGCAGGGTAGTGTGCACAAATGAGAGAATGTGTGCATATTATTTGATGTAAGTGGGTTAACTGCTTTATTTTTATCAATGCATATAATCAATACAAAAACATTTTTAAATAGACGGTCAGAGCTGGAACTCTTTCATTAGTGTCTCTTGCACCTTTTGTCTTAGCTCTGAACATTTTATCTTAAAGTTAAATCTTATGTTGCCTGAATTTATTTCATTTATTAAGTTTATTTATTAATTTCTTATTTTTTATTTATGTTAGCTTCCAATCAGAAGACTATACCACCTCCTAGGGTAAGTTAAAGTTTATTAAATGGGAATTAATGATCACTTGATGGGTTAGATTGAGAAGTGGAAATTGAGATATTTTGTTATCTCAATGTGTCTTTTGTCACATCAGGTTAAGAGAATGTTGAAGTTATTTCATGACCTTTGCATGAATAGGTCCAGTTCTAAATAAAAACCTATGTTTGGTCATTTTAGTATCAATGGGAAGGAACAAGTTATTTCTTAAGATTGTATTGACTTCTCACACCCAGAATGGAAAGTTTCCAAGTAGAAATAATGGCTATTTTATCTCTGCAATCAGAAGGAAGCTGATTCCAATATATTACCTCACCTGTTGGGTTCATTTGATATGCACACACAAAATGACCATTTTAATGTTAAAAACAAGGAAGAGAAATTTATATTAAATTGATGTCATTAAAAAATTATACTCTATAAAATATGGGTAAATATTGCTGGAAAGATCTTCCTGAGCAATGATTTGTTCTCTCATATAAATGTTTCATAAACATTTTTATTTCTCAAATCTATACCCCAAATACCTTGGGCAACTTAATAAGCTCTCTGAGAAAATTCTAAGAAAGGATCAAATTTAGGAGGGCATAAATGAGGAGGAAAAAAAAAGTCTTTATTAGTATGGACTCCTTACAGCGAAAGGCCCAAGAACTATTTATGAAGATAAACTCTGAAAAGGACTATATTGTATTTAGCTTCCTGTAAGGATGAATGAGTGATTTATATGAAATGCCATAGAGAATCTCCTGTCTGTGGCAGGAGGTGGAAGTCACTAACAAGCCTCAACAATCATGCTTAAAGGACAGGTGGGGTGGAGTGTGCCCATCTACCAAAGGTGTTTATTCTAGAAAGGTTGGTGCCATGGCTACATTGGTCACAAACTGCCAACAGTTTTTAAAGTGCCTCTTAGAGATAATCCACCCACTGGGCTGTAAACCTTAACATGTTTTCCTTCTCTGTTACTGAGTTTAATTTGCTTGACTTGAAAATGATTGTCTTGCCCTATCTCTTGTTCAACTGTATTATTTATTCTGTCGTTGCTGTTTATGTTCGCACTTCAATAATTTTTGAGAAGTTAGCATTTCTTGAACTGAGAGAGACAGGGCGGAGTGAGAAATTCTACTTAGAGACTATTAAGAGAATAGTACAGTTATTATTAAACTATTAACTAGACTTGGCAAGCTTCACTTTAACATTCATGGCCTTATTTTGTTTTTATACCATAGAATTTACTGCTTACCATATAGTTTAAATGTTAGCATGTGTAAGTTTAGTATAAGAGGATATGAGATAAATTATATTTTATGTAAATATATTTTAAATATTTTCCAGAAAGCTGTAGAGGAACCCCTTAATGGTATGTGGTTATTTTAATCTTGATTCCTTACCAGATCATAATTTGAACTGGCCCTCAAAACAGTTAGAATGCCCCATTTATGCCTTAGGAAGAACTTTCTCTTGCCTTGACCTCTATTCTCTTGATTATTTATAAGAGTTATGAGTACTGGCAGGGCTTAGTGGTTCTTGCCTATAATCCCAGCACTTTGGGAGGCTGAGGAGGAAGGATTGCTTGAGCCTAAGAGTTCAAGACCAGCCTGGGCAACATAGTGAGACCTCATGTTTACAAAAAACCAAAAAATTGGTAAGGTGTGCATCTGTAGTCCCATCTACTTAGGAGACTGAGCAGGATAGATTCCTTCAGCCCAGGAGTTCGAGGTTGTGGTGAGCTGTGATCATTCCACTCTATTCTAGTCTGGGTGACTGAGTGAGACCTTGACTCAAAAAAAAAAAGAAAAAGAAAAAGAATCATGAGTATTGTTTTTGTAGTATTCTCACCTTTGGGGATAAGTACACTGTTTTGTGTCTCTCAAGTAGTTGCTTACCCTAGCCAAGAGACATTGGCGTAAGGAGAACATTGCCCTTTTGTACTGGGGAAGATAAAGCATAGCATTCCCCAGTAGAGAAGACTCTCCATTATCCCCAATTTATAACTTATATATTTTAGAAAGTTACAGGTTATCACCATGGAGTGAGACCACACATCTCACTTTTTTCCTACATAAATCTAGACCCAGCTGAATCTGTTTCTTTTGTGGATACTATGGGTATGATCCACAGAAATAATCGTCTCAAAACTAATTTGGCTGTAGAGCTGTGGGATAGTTGCCTTATTACTGCATATTTGTTTATTTAGCGATGATTTTTAATTGTGGAACCTTACTAACTGCCTGCTTGGCTTGTTACTAATCCTTAGCATTTAAAGAATCAAAAGGAATGATGAATGATGGTAAGTATAAAATGCACCTACAATTATAGATTAGTTCAAATATGGGCCCTGAAAAATAGAAATTCAAAAATCTTCTTGAAAGTCTGACTTTCTCGTGGTAAAAGAGACACTGTCAAATGATAGAGGTCCACACTTCTTGATGTCTAAAACTTAAATCTATTTTGCTAAAAATTGCAAAACTACTACTGCAAACGCTGTAGGCTGTCAGGAATCAGAGCCTTCCAGTCATCTGGCTTACAGCAAAGAGAAATGACCACTTTTTGTAAAATACGTTTCAGACTGTAACTTCGAAAGGCTTTTGTAAGGCACATAAATAAACTGGCACAAGTCGTTATCATTTGACGGAGTTTCTTTTGTGCTTGTATTGGTGGTTTTGTTTGCATAAAATTGACCCATGGGGACTTCACATGTCTGCTTGGCAAGCAGGAACTTGGTTCTAACCTTCCGGGAGACGATGAAAGAGAAATGTTTAGTTCTCAGTTTTGCTTTTTTTTTCTTTTTTGGAACTCTGAGTTAATCACTTTGAGTGTTTACTGAATATTTCAAAGACATTTATTTGTTCATTCTTAAAGATAAATAAGCTTGATATTGAGTGCTACAAGCAATCGTTTTGATTTTGATTTCACCTTAACATGCCATGATTCTTCAGTTTGGTTGGCATTTAGCAACTATGCATTTTTATCTTATTATAAAAAGTGTCTCCTTACCTTTGATATTTGCAATCCTTCCTTGATCACGTAAATAGTTTGCTTTATATTTTACTATTTTAAAGTCTGTGATCTGCCTACTTGCTTCTGTAGAAAAGTGCAGCATTTAACACAGGAGGCTGGATTCCCCCAGGACTACTAATATTTACATAAGATTAAAAACACTCCAATCGTATTCTTGAAAAAAGTTTAAAGCAATATTTAGGCCTGTGTTAAACAAGGAGTCACAGAATAATCACACTTCTGTAGGTCTGCGTCACAGCCTTTAAAAGCATGTTTTTGTTACCCAAGCCACCGCCCTCCTAAAACTACAGTTAGTAGCAATAAATTAAAGGACATTTTTTTAAAAAATTCCTGTTACCTGCAATTGTGGCATGGTTTGTCCATGTTTACTTTCTGGTGTCTTTTTTTTTTTTTTTTTACATTTTTATTTCTGTCCTTTCCTTTTCCTACTGTGATGTCATTGTTCTGTAGTTGAATGAAGAAACTAAATTTTACTTCATTTTCAGAACATCATTATAAGAAGCCTGAGGGTCTCCTCCTTTGTTAATTTCCCTTAAGACATGACTTTTTTTTAACTACTACATCAGTAGATATTGTAAAATAGTTTTGCCTCCAATATTTGTGTGTTCATAACACATGAAATCTGTGACGACCTTTGAAATTCCCTTCATTTTGCAAATATTTCAGTGATCAGAATTTGTTTTCTAAATGTCTGTCTGGTGGGTTCTTCCTAACAAAGCTGCTCAGTGCGCATGGTATGTCCCTTCTTGTCAGTGAATAAGATTTGTGGGACCTTGGGATCACAGTCAGTACCATTTTTAATTTCAGCTACACCTGATCATATGCTTATTTCACTTACATTAAATGAATGATGTAGATCTAAAGTGAGTGTGATAGAATATTATTCCAGGATCAATATCTTTTGCTTGAAAAATCAACATCTCTTGGCTTTTCCTCAGCTAACTCAGCAAACAGGGCTTATTAGACTGTGTTGATCTTTTACTTTCATTCAGCATTCACCTTTTTTCTTACTGAAAATAAAAAAGCTGATGATTTGACTGGTTTGTGTATCTGACCTTTGCAGATCTACTTTCTTTATTTTTAGATACTTTATATGTGAAACAAATTTTTTTTAAATGCATCAACTTCTTAATGGATAGAAAATAGACATGAATAGTGATTATATGTGCATTTTTTTCAATTTTCCAGAATAACTGAAGTGAAGTGATGGACTCTGATTTGGAGAGTAGTAAGACGTGAAAGGAATACACTTGTGTTTAAGCACCATGGCCTTGATGCTTCACTGTTGGGGAGAAGAAATCAAGAAAAGTAATTGGTTGTCATCTACGAGAGAAAATAAGTCATTGACCCTTAAATGATTGTTACAGTTAAGTTTTTATTAAAAGCAGCTGTAATTTAGTTAACAGAAGATCTATGATCTGTGTCATGTGCCCAATTGAGATCCATTTTTTTTGTTGTTGTTATTTTAATCAGTTAGGGGCAAAAGTAGAATGGACAACTTTCAAGAATGATGCCTTTCAGGTTCTCGGAACCGGTTTAAATTGGTTCAGGATGAGAATTACATAGCACTTCCCTGGTGATTACCCAGAGAGAACTATGAAAACTGAACCATAGCAGACCTTAGCAAACTCATGTTCACGGCAGCTTTAGCAGTTACAACATTAGCCAAGTGATATATCTGCCACTTCAGGGTCAAGGGAATCATGAAGTAGGTACAGGCATAAATTCGGTTGGGAGTATCGTATGCCACTCCACGTGGTATGGTATTGATGAGATAGTGGTCTTCATTCTTCGGGGTTGCCATTCACATGTTCCCCCTTCAACATACAGTGTCACAGGTCCTTTACAGATTTAGGGTACTTTTATTGATGGATGTACTTTTCTTTTATTCACACAACCCTTTAAGCCCTGTCTTGTCCTCCTGTTACTTGCTTCCGCTGTACAAGATGTCGCACCTTTTCTCCTCTCTGAACATGGTCTAGTGGCGCGGTAGCATCAGTTGCAGGAAGGAGCCAGACTTGTTCTCAGAGCACTACATTCACACTTTTCAGCAAAAATAGCTATGGTCGTAACATATGTATTCCCTTCCTCTGATTTGAAGGCAAAAACCTACAGTGTTTCTTCACTTCTTTTCTGATCCAGGGCATGAAAAAGCAAGATTGAAATTTGAACTATGAGTCTCCTGCATGGCAACAAAATGTGTCTCACCATCAGGCCCATGGGCCAGCCCTTGAAAGGGTGGTTTTCTTACCGTTGTATCTATGTTGCATGACGAACACTCATCACCTTCCTCCTGTAGTCCTGCCTCGTGCGCCCCTTCCCCAAGATTGAAAAGTAAAACAAAACCCACATTTCCTATCCCAGTTAGAAGAAAAATTAACGTTCTGACAGTTGTGGTCGCCTGGAGTACTTTTAGACTTTTAGCACTCGTTTTTTACCTGTTTGTGGGTGTGTGTTGGTATGTGCATACGTATAAGATAGGCACATGCATCTTCTGTATGGACAAAGGTGGGTACCTGCAGGAGAGCAAAGGTGAATTTCGTGCTTTTAGTAAAAACATTTAAAAACAGAGATCTTTATTGGGTGGAATTATATTTGATGCAAATATTTGATCATTTAAAACTTTAAAACCTTCTAGGTAATTTGTCATGCTTTTTGACTGCTCACCAGTACCCTCTAAAAATAATTCTTCTTGTTTGTGTAATAAGACATTCATATTTGTAGCTGCTTTAATAGTAGTTATTTCTTAGTCCACTGAATGTTCCCATGTGCCTCTTTTATGCCAAATTAATTGTCATATTTCATGTTGGGACCAAGTGGTTTGCCCATGGCAAACCTAAATTCATGACCTGCCGAGGCCTCTCAGAAAACTGAACACACTAACAAGACAGCTTTTTCGGTGTGGGGGGGAAATCCATACACATATACATGCATTTTTCCCCTGATTATGTAACTGTCCAAAATATTAGCGTGTGTAGAGGAAGCTGTATTTCTTTATACAAATCTGACAGCTCCTGTTGCTCTTTTTCCTTCTGAAAATATTTACATTCTGCTAATATAGTTTGTTACTTTAGAAGTCAGTTTTGGTAAAGGGAGGGAAAAAGCAGATGAACTGGAAGTGAATGCAAATTTCTATTCCCTGTTAAAGTCAGATGTAAAAATCTTTATAGCAAAAACTTTTATAAACAAAGGTTGTAGCTTTGAATATGGAGTAAACTCTCATTTGTCAGGGGTTTGTTCCCGGGTCGCCTCCATTTGTGTGTTCTCTTTAATGCTGCCTGCCTTTCGAGGCATTCACTGCCCTAGACAATGCCACCAGAGGTAGCAGGGGAAGTGCCAGATGAAATCAGCACTCGCTTTTTCTAGTTGTCAGCATCTCTGGATGAAGGACCACAGTAGCAGGAGTCTTCTTGCTTGGGCATGATTGGGCCAGTTCCTTCTTTTTAAATCAGACTTATAATGGCTCCCAATTTTGGTCGCATCACACTGAAATTGCTAACAATGTTTCAAACATCATATATCCATTTTGCCCCATAAGATACTTTTTACTCCCTGATCCCAGTTTTCGCTGTTGACTTACCAGTTTTATTTTTTGTATGCTCTTTTTTCTCTTTCTTTTTTTTCTTTTTTTTTTTTTTGAGTCAGAGTCTCACTCTGTCGCCCAGGCTGGAGTGCAGTAGCATGCTCACAGCCACCGCAGCCTCAACCTGCTGGCTTCAAGTGATCCTTCTGCCTCAGCCTTCCAAGTAACTGGAACCACAGGCATACACCACCATGCCTGGCTAATTTTTTGATTTGTTATAGAGACGAGGTCTCACCATATTGTCCAGGCTGGTCTCGAACCCCTGGATCCAGGCAATTCTTTTGCCTCTGCCTCCCAAAGTGCTGGGATTACAGGCATGAGCCATTGCGCCAGGCCTATTGTATATTCTCAGAGTGACACCATTTGTCATTTTCTGCAACAACCTCTCTGGTCTTTTTTGGCCAAATCCAATTTTTCTTCCCCTTCAAAATATTCTTCTCCAGCCCTCTCCACCAGCTCTCCGGTGCAGCCTGTCCCCATTTGTCTAGCAGTCTCTTTCATCTCTTACTTACCTTTCCTAGCACTTTATTCATCTTTGCTTAGTTCTGTTGGTTTTTTTGTCTTGTTTCTCTCACTTGATTTTAAAATTCCTTCCATAGTGAGAGCATTTCTTCCTTTCTGTCTTCCTGTAGTGTTTTGCATACATTAAAAGCTCAATACATAAGTTAAATGATTGAGAGTTGACTGTATTTAGATTTCCCACTATTTTTAATAGAGTGAGCTAGAGAGTCTTTTTTTCTTCTTTCCTTCCTTTCTTTCTTTCAGCAAATTCCACATGCTCTAAAGACCTTAAAAGGTGATGTTTTTCACCTGGAAACTCCAGGTCTATTCTGTTTAAATTCCTGAGTATGTCAGAATTAAAATCATGGGACTATCCCATAATTGGAAGTATGGAGTTTTGGGGTTTTTTTCCCAGGATGATTTGAGTTAATAAAGCTCAAAAAATGATAAGTTTACTCCTCCATCTCATTAATAAAAAGTGAGCTCTATCTAAACCGTCTAGATTTCTCTTATCTTAAAATGGGTATTCAGAAATGGAGATCTGTGGTGTATGTATGGAAATACATACGACTGGTATTTATCTATTGTTGGAAACTGGAGAAATGATTGTCGGGCAACCTTTTATTGTATTTTATTTGACTGAGGGGTTTTTTAGAAACAGTTTTACGTGTATCATATTTCCAAAATTACTAACTGCCATCACCCACTGAGGGTCCTTTGTTAAGTCATTTTCAGTGGCTGACAGGGATAATCCAGATAACTTTGAAGAGATGAGCAGTGAGTGATCAGGAAGTTTTTCTGCCTTTAGCTCTGATGGCAGCTCTTAATTATGATTGTTTAAGCCCAGCTTTCCCATAAATTTAGCCTTTGTAAAAAAAAAAAAAAAAAAGAAAGCATTTGTAATAAGCTTCTCTGTAAGACAACACCAGTGGAATCTTAAAAATGTGGTTATCATGGTTGGTGAGACAGGAAAACATTTTTGTTTTTATTAAATGGAGCATTATTTACAAAAAGCCATTGTTGAGAATTAGATCCCACATCATATGAATATCTATTAACCATTCTAAATAACAAGAACTTCAGTGTTGCTATGTGTAAGATCCCCTCTTGGGGCCTTTTTTGCATAGCAATTAAAGGTGTGCTATTTGTCAGTAGCGATTTTTTTGCAGTGATTTAAAGACCAAAGTTGTTTTACAGCTGTGTTACTGTCAACGGTTTTTTTTTTTTTAATGTATTAAATCAATTTATCACTGTTTGAAGCTTTGAATATCTGCAATCTTTGCCAAGGTACTTTTTTATTTAAAAAACATAACTTTGTAAATATTACCCTGTAATATTATATATACTTAATAAAACATTTTAAGCTATTTGGTTGGGTTATTTCTATTGCTGCCACAGTAAACCACAAGCACATTTCTGAGAAATTTGTATTGTTAATGTGTTTCTAAGTTGTTTACATTCTGGGTAACAATGTAAGGAATGACTTAAAATATTAATTATACATTCTTTTTTAAAGCATAATACCCAATAAGTAAACTTTTAATTAGAACAAAGTTTTAATTAAAAGTTTTAAACAAGTCTAATGTGTTTCATAATTATCTTTAAATTAATTTGTTTCCATGATATAGTGGAAACATGTGAGAAAACAGGAGATTCTTGTTCAGGTCCTGGTTCAAATCCTGGCTCTAGCAGAGGACCTGAGCCAACCACCTACCTGCATCTCAGTGTCCATCTTTGTCTGTGAATGAGATAAGCCTCTTTTGAGACTGAAAAGTGTGGTTCTCCATTTGAATTGGAAATATTTTGATTGTAAGTGAAAGAAAACTTAAATCTAAGAAAAATGGAGTCTCTTGGCTTATGTAACCTGAAAATTCAGGTGCGCTTCTGGATTCTGGACCTCCAAAGAGTGCATCCTAAGGACCTGATGTCTTGCCAGCTTTCTACTTTACTCTCTGAGGTGTGGCCTTCCTTCCAGGCTTTCCAGGGTTGGCTGCAGTCCCCAAACCACCTCCTCCCAGGTTCAGGAAAGGTAGAGGGGTGAAAGAGTGTAGTCTCTTTTTCAACAGTCCTGTCTCTCCAAGGTTACACTGCAGACTGGGTCACATGCCGCCCCTCACTCAGTCCTGGAGACCAAGCATCTTTGGTGCCATGATGGGACTGGCCTAACTCCTGTGTCTGGATTGGAGTGGAGGTTGTGAGCTCCATCTGTAACACGTCTTCCTGGCTGAGGGTGGGGGTAGAGGGAAGCACACCTGAAGCCAAATCCGGAGGTCATTAGCAGAGGATGAGATGTCACTCGACTAGGGGCACAAGACTCCCTGCCAGTGCCTCATTCCTTCAGGTCTGTACTCCATG